TATATATTTATTTATTTATTTATTTTGTACCAGGGATTGAACTCAAGGTCTTGCACTTGCAAGGCAGGTGCAGGGCCAGAGCTAAATTCCTAGCCCTCTTGGTATATTCTTGATAGGAATTTTTTGTTATATGAAACTACTAAAAATATATTCTCCCACTCTAGATTTTCATTTTCATGATGTTGTCTTTGGATAAACAGAAATTCTTACATTTAATGCTACCCAATTTTCCGCTTTCCCTTTGTGTTTGTTTTCTAGGAGGGGTCACTATTCTTGTGAGCCTGTTTTTGTAAAGAAGTCCATCGAGGTGCTTGCTGGGAGCTCTACAGGACCAGGATGAGGGGGGATGCAAACTAGTGCCGGCAAAGTGCTGTCCTGCAGCCCTGCAGCTGCACCCTGCACTCAGGGCCCGGTGCCAGCGCCTCTCAGATTGATAGGAAGGCTGCTGGCCTCACCCTAGCCCAAGGCCTACCAAAGTCTTTACCTCCCTAGGTCTGTCACCTCCTAGACAAGGCAAAATAATTTTAACTGGGTTATCTGGATTTGGAATGCAGAAGTCTGCAGGCAGTTTTCCTCCACCACTATTGTAACACGTAAGAAAATGCCTTAGATTGGTGAATTCGGAAATAACAAGTACGGTTCACAGGACTCTGGGAAGGCCAAGGTCAAAGGTCAGCAGATTCTGGAGCCTCCCAGAGGTGTCTTCTGTGTCCCCACAGGCTGGAAGCTGCCCCCACCTTGGTATAGGGGAACAGTCAGGGCCTCAGGTAAACTAAGCAGCAACCCCCTTTTATAAGGGGCTAAGCCCACTACAAATACCCAGCCCTTCTGACCAAACCAACTTCCCAGACGCTTTCCAACACCACTGTGCCAGGAATTAGGACTCAACATAGGAATTTTGTAGGATACAAACATTCAGACCACAGCAATTAATAAAACTAAAAGATCATACCAAATTCTACAAGGGAACCAAATAAGGGTGCCTAGCCTTGGCTTAATGTGCTCATGAAAGGCTCAGAATTTCCCTAAACAGTTGACTTTATGCCCCAATCCTAGTGCAGTTGAGATACAGTTTCCTGTGATTTAAGAAGAGGGCTTCAGAACCGGGTGTGGTGGCCCATCCGTTCCTGAAATTCCACCATTCTGAGAGGCTGAGGCAGGACGATTTAATCCAAGCCCAGCCTGTTAGTCCTTGTCTCAAAAAGTGGGAGGGGGCTGGGTTTATAACGCTGGTTCCATCTCCAGTCCCGGAAAAAAAAAAGGGGGGACATGAGAAGCCTTCCTCCCTAGAAGGGCTGTCCGGAAGAACTTTCCAATAACTTCGCTTAACTTTGTCGTCAGGCCGGCTTCCAACAAAGCCCGGCCAGTGAGGGAAACAAAGCTAATTGAAACGAGGTGCTCTAGGCTATTAGGCAAGGCATAGATAAAAACCTGGATCCAGGATTTTGCGTCCTGAACTGGCCCGCAGGATGCGGGGCAGCTAGGTCTTCCATTCCAAAAATCCGTTTCCAGGTCTTCCCCTGAGCCGAGTTGCAAACTGGAAGTGGAAACCACTCTCAGTGGCGCGGTGAGTGTGAAACTCGGGTCTGTTGGGCCCGGGTGTTGGGTTGGTGGGGGCCGGGTCTGCGTGCCCGCCGACCTAGCCGAGGGACCCTGTGTGCCAGGAAAGGAGTGAGCGCTGAGTTGTGTGCAGAGAACCCACGGCTCTGCTTCGCGCCCAAATCCCTGGGCAGTCTGCAGCGGGGGAGGCAGGTGAGGGGCTGCAGCCGGGAGCTGCGGTGCTATCCTAGGAATGCGGGGTTTCCTCCGCCCTCGGCTTCCGCCTGCAGCTCGCGGCTCGAGAGCCCTGCTCTGCTTTTGTGTGTTGTGAATCGCTTCAGCCCGCTTGGGGTGTTCACCGAGGCTCACTTGTAGCTGGGATTTCGTGCTGAACTAGCAACCATGACTAGTTTGCAGTTGTGCCGAACGTTGCGTATTTAGTAGACACGGTATCGTGGAAAGACCCCATCAGCAGGTTTTGGTTATCCGCGGGCAAGCCAAGACTTAGGTGTTTTTATATCCACTTAGCGCCCACAGGATAGAACTCATTTGTGTAAGCTAGGACATTGCTGTGAAGTTCAAGGCATTTTCTTCCGAGATTTTAATGATTCTTTAATACCTAGCAAATGTCATGCAAATGACTTTTTTTTTTTTTTTTTGACACTGTAGCATCTGACAGGTTTCCTCCTCCTCACTGTCCAGGCACCTTGACATAGGTGTGACTTGAATTGTTAATTTCATTTGTGCAGTGTCTGAGGACAATGTTAACTTGGTCTTGGGGCCTTAACACCTTCATACATCCTTCCTTATCTTAAACGAGAACCCCTCTCCCTCCTTCCCAGAAACTCTCAACCAGTCTTGGGCTTGCTAGTAGTGTCACATCACAAGGTAGGGCCTTGGCTCTCTGCGGTCCACCTTGATCCTGATCGATCAATCCTGATCGCAAAAGGAGGCTTTCAGGTGAGGCGTGGCCATCAGGATTGAATAGATAATCCAGGTGTCTGCACCCTGAAGTTTCCCAGCCAGCGTGTAGATTGTGCCTTACGCTTGCTGAATCTTAGAACTGCCGCCCAGCCTTTCAGTCTGTTCCACTTTTGAAATTGCTGCACAACTCTTCACTTGCTGCTTCGTGCTAGATGGCAGTGTGCAACAGCGAGTTAAACAGAGCCTCCGATGCTCCTGCCTCATTGTTGGTCATCTTTTATTCTTCATTGAGGAAGAAAACAGTAACTTTCAAGCTTTATGTTATAAACAGAACATTTTTGAAAGATCCAAATTAGGGTTAAATTTAAGAAATAAAGAAAAAATAATTTGGATAATGTTACTCGTGTATGTGTAAGTATTGCTCAGTATACAGACATTTCCAGCCTATGCTTACATTTTTTTTTTTTTTTTTTGGTACCGGGGATTGAACTCGGGACCTTGTGCTTGCGAGGCAGGTGGTGGTACTACTGAGCTAAATCCCTGGCCCTGCTTAAATGTTTTTTATAGTATTCAGAATATAGAGAGTTAATTGCAGCAAGAAATGCAATATTTTAATTATCAAGATTCTACAATAAATATTTGTTACAGTGGTCCTGAACATGTTTTTTTTTTGGAAATTAAAAAAAGAAAACTAAGTTTATTTGCAGTGTTTTCCAGATATCTTTTTATTTGAGAATACAATTTTAAATTTCAAAAGGTAATGTTAAATTACTTAAAAGAAAATGGCCTGGAGTTCTTGCTGAGTGGTGGAGTGCTTGCCTAGCACTTGTGAGGCCCTGGGTTTGATCCCCAGCATCACACACACACACACACACACACACATACACACACACACACAAAGATGAAATAATTCTAAACTTGTTATATACAAGTGCATGTATATATGTATATATATTATTTTTTCCTCAGAAATCTTAGTTTTTTGTTTTTTGGCTTTTTTGGTACTGGGGATTGAACGTGGGTCCTTGCACTTGCAAGGCAAGTGGCAGAGCCTCTGAGCTAAATCCCTGGCCTGGAGAAATCTTCGTTTGTATTAGTCAGCTGTTTTCTGCAGGACAAAATATCTGACACCCAGACCTAAAGGAAAGGTTTAATTTGACTCATGGTTCGGAGTTCATGATTGGTTGGCTCTAAAGCAGAAACAGGGCAGAATGGTGTGTTGGAGCACAGTTATGCCCTAGGGAGAGGTGCACCTTCCAGAGCGTTCCCCAGGGACCACCTCCAGCTGGCCCCACCTCCTAACAGCACATTCTGCTGTGAACATCACTGGGTTAATCCAGTGAGCGCTACAGTGCCCCATGATACAACTGCTCCTCTTAGTCCAGTGAGGTTGACAATTAAGATCAAATTATGACTCTTGCCTCTTTACCAGGTTAATCTTTCTTCTGTGAAGAGCTTTTGCTCCTGAACGCAATTCATGGGATTAGAGAGCTCATTTTGGGAAGAAATCTTGGAACATTGCCTGGTCTCGCCTTTAGATGTGTGAAATATTAGCCACATTCTGTGCGTGTTATTTAACTAGCGCCTCACTCATAATTATGTACATAATAAAAACAGATGAGGGATTTTAATGCAGATCTGCTAGGTAGGAAAATTGCCAGAGAGTAACCTGTAAGTCCTTGGAGAAAGAATTCTTTTAGAAGACCTCATAGGAAGAACAAAGATGAAGAATCTCTGCCTCTTGAGTAGCTGCTGTATTTCACACTATCAAACACTCTTGGACTCCCACTGCCTCTTAAATTTGCATTTTCATTTGGGTCTGTCTACCAGTGTGAGCTTGTGGTAGTTAACACTACATAAGTGAGTGCTTTGGTGTGTGTCTAGAACCTAAGGGTTTATGAATGTGCCATTCTTGCAGCAGAACTGCAAGGTCTTCTGGCTACACCTTCTTCCCATTATCACCAGTCTTGAGTGACAGTGGTCTTGCTTGAAATGTGTCCTTGGGGGCAACCCGCTTTCCAGTCCCCCTTCTGTCTCAATAAATTTTTCCTACTCTTAACTTCCATTGTTCATAGAATTCATTGTTTGATTTTAAGGAACACAAATTCAAGTTTTGGAAATACAGCAGGTTTGGGAGTTACATTTCTTCCCCTATATCATTTTGGAGGTCTTCCACTGAGATTACTGGTTGGAGGAACTAAAAAGCTGAGGTTTAAATCTCTTGGTGGCATCTGCTGTCCTCCACTGCCATGGACTGTTGCTCTTCTGCCATCCTGACTTGGAACCACCTGAACTAAACCTCTAGGAACTGCAAGCCAAAGAGACCTTTCCCTCCTTTATCTTTGGAAGTCAGATATTTTCTCTCAGCAACGAGAGAAAAGTAACTAAGACAAAATTTGGTACCAGCAAATGAGGTTGTTGCTATGAGATTACATGGCCATGCAGCTCAAGAGCTTTTGGAACTGGCTTGTGGCAAGAGGGAGAGCAAAGATTCAGAGATGTTGGCTGAAGAAGTAAAACTGGAATGCCTCAAGCTAAGTTCTGGTCAGAGCTCAGCAGACTAGAAAGCGGGTAAAGACCATGCTCTCGAGGTTTCTGCTGGGAAGAAGGAATGCACTGGCTACTGGACTCCAGACGGTACACCCAGACCTAAAGGAAAGGTTTAATTTGACTCATGGTTCGGAGTTCATGATTGGTTGGCTCTAAAGCAGAAACAGGGCAGAATGGTGTGTTGGAGCACAGTTATGCCCTAGGGAGAGGTGCACCTTCCAGAGCGTTCCCCAGGGACCACCTCCAGCTGGCCCCACCTCCTAACAGCACATTCTGCTGTGAACATCACTGGGTTAATCCAGTGAGCGCTACAGTGCCCCATGATACAACTGCTTCTCTTAGTCCAGTGAGGTTGACAATTAAGATCAAATTATGACTCTTGCCTCTTTACCAGGTTAATCTTTCTTCTGTGAAGAGCTTTTGCTCCTGAACGCAATTCATGGGATTAGAGAGCTCATTTTGGGAAGAAATCTTGGAACATTGCCTGGTCTCGCCTTTAGATGTGTGAAATATTAGCCACATTCTGTGCGTGTTATTTAACTAGCGCCTCACTCATAATTATGTACATAATAAAAACAGATGAGGGATTTTAATGCAGATCTGCTAGGTAGGAAAATTGCCAGAGAGTAACCTGTAAGTCCTTGGAGAAAGAATTCTTTTAGAAGACCTCATAGGAAGAACAAAGATGAAGAATCTCTGCCTCTTGAGTAGCTGCTGTATTTCACACTATCAAACACTCTTGGACTCCCACTGCCTCTTAAATTTGCATTTTCATTTGGGTCTGTCTACCAGTGTGAGCTTGTGGTAGTTAACACTACATAAGTGAGTGCTTTGGTGTGTGTCTAGAACCTAAGGGTTTATGAATGTGCCATTCTTGCAGCAGAACTGCAAGGTCTTCTGGCTACACCTTCTTCCCATTATCACCAGTCTTGAGTGACAGTGGTCTTGCTTGAAATGTGTCCTTGGGGGCAACCCGCTTTCCAGTCCCCCTTCTGTCTCAATAAATTTTTCCTACTCTTAACTTCCATTGTTCATAGAATTCATTGTTTGATTTTAAGGAACACAAATTCAAGTTTTGGAAATACAGCAGGTTTGGGAGTTACATTTCTTCCCCTATATCATTTTGGAGGTCTTCCACTGAGATTACTGGTTGGAGGAACTAAAAAGCTGAGGTTTAAATCTCTTGGTGGCATCTGCTGTCCTCCACTGCCATGGACTGTTGCTCTTCTGCCATCCTGACTTGGAACCACCTGAACTAAACCTCTAGGAACTGCAAGCCAAAGAGACCTTTCCCTCCTTTATCTTTGGAAGTCAGATATTTTCTCTCAGCAACGAGAGAAAAGTAACTAAGACAAAATTTGGTACCAGCAAATGAGGTTGTTGCTATGAGATTACATGGCCATGCAGCTCAAGAGCTTTTGGAACTGGCTTGTGGCAAGAGGGAGAGCAAAGATTCAGAGATGTTGGCTGAAGAAGTAAAACTGGAATGCCTCAAGCTAAGTTCTGGTCAGAGCTCAGCAGACTAGAAAGCGGGTAAAGACCATGCTCTCGAGGTTTCTGCTGGGAAGAAGGAATGCACTGGCTACTGGACTCCAGACGGTGTGTGTTATGCCTTGGCAGAAAGTTTGTTTGCATTTTGCTTGTGTCCAGAGACTTTGCCTGAGACTGAGATTAAGGGCAGTGAACTAATTAATCTTGAAGAGGAAATTTCAAGGCAGTCTAATGTTGACGGCTTCTGTTGGGGTCTTTTAGCCAGATTTATGTTGAGAATCAAGAGCAAAGAGCCCAGCAGAATGATTTAAAGCATTTTTACTTTGGCCAGAAAGAAAGCTCCAGTAAAGCTGTGGATCTTGATTACTGAGAAGGAACAGAATAGAAAAGATGGCCTGAGGGCATCGTAAGCAGCAGTAGCCTCAAAATTGCAAAAGTGAAAGACTTTCCTTTGAGAAAAAAAGCCCTGGAACACCATGTTACAGGAGGACAGCAGCCTAGGGAAGTTGTTCCAGAGTGACTTAGGGAAGTTTTTCTGGGGGATTTGGTTCACAGCCACCGGACCCCTACAGCCAAGAGAGAAGGAAGCCTGGCTACTGCTCCAGCTGGCAGCAGACCTCGGTGTCATCCACTGGTGCTGGTTTTAGGCGCATGCAGTATCCGAGCGTTGCAGGGTCAGGAAGGCTTCCACCCAGATTTCAGAAGAGGGCTTGGGAGGCCAGGCAGTGCCCCTGAGAGGGCCGTGTGTGAAGCTGAAGGTGCAGTGGAGACTCCAGAAGTTTAGAGAACTTGGCAGCATGGATTATGTGAGGAAAGCTGCAAGCAGGGAGTCGAACCGGCCCAAGAGAGAAGCCATGGGAGCTACAAGCACCTGTAGAGCCATAGGGGTGGAGTCACCCAAGTCCTTTGGAGTTTATAACTTGCCACAGATTGCCTTGGATGATGGACGTGCAGCTGTGGGATTTAATATTTACTCTGCTGGATTTTGGTCTTGCTTTGGTCCCTTTCCTTACTATTCCTCAGTTTGGAGTGGAAATGTTCACCTTGTGCCATTGAATAATGGAAGTGTTTAACCTTGTCTTCATTGGTACAGGGATTTGCAGCTAAGAGTTTGCCTTAAGTCTCAGAGAAGACTTTAGACTTGTACTTTTCAGCCGTGCTGAAACTGTTGGATTTTGGCAACTCTTGAAGATGAACTAAATGTCTTTTGCATAAAGGGATATGGAGGGCCAGGGTCGGAATGTTAGGGCTTGTATTTAGGTGTCCTGTCAAAGCCTCATGTGAATGAGGTGGGACTTTCTTTTTCAGAGGTGACTGAATCTGGAGTGTGTGATGCTGGGATTAAGGGTGTGTGATTATTAAACCACTACACTGAGTGATTGCTTTGGCATTGCCTGAATCCTCGTAGTCTGGATTGGATAAAAGGGGAAGAAAGGCTCTGTTAAGATCTCTTTTTGTTTTTGTTGTTTTCTGCTGCCTATGAACTGTTGTCCCTCTGCCACCCTGCCTGGGAGCCACCTGATTATAGACTGAAACTTTGACAAACTGTGTAGGTCAAATAAAGCTTTCTCCCTTTAAAAAATAAAATAAATCTTTTGGTTTGCTAGCAAAAGAAAAAAAAATGTGTCCTTGGTTGAAGAGAATGACATTTCCAAATAGAAATCTTTCACCCAAAGCCCTCTCTATGGAAAAATTCATGCCCACTAAAATAAGAGGTCCATTTAAAAAGAATGAGAAACATTAATGCAAATAAATATTAATTTAAAAAATTAGGTAAAAGTAGAAACTGCAGCCATCACATGTGCATCAGATGCCCTAGGGACAGTGACAGGCATTAATTAAGGGAGTCGTCAGCAAATTAACAAATAGGCCAACTTTGTAATAGTCCACACTTGTTTTCTGTGCATCCAGTGAAGCAGCTTTAGAAAGTTTCCTAAAAGCCAAGCGAGGCAGTGGGCTTCTGCTTTCTGGGAAGTTGAGGCAGAAGGATCACAAGTTTGAGTCTTGCTTGGCCAACTTAGTGACTCAGTGGGTCCCTGTCTCAAAAGTAAGTTAAAAAAATGGATAGGGATGTAGATTCGTGTGAAAGCCCTAGGTTTTTTTTCTTGCTTTTTTTTTTTTTTCTTTTGGTTTTTGGAGACAGGGTCTCACTATGTAGTTGAGACTGACCTGGAACTCACTATGTAGCCCAGGCTGGTCTTGAACTCACAGTGATCCTGCCTCAGCCTCCCGAGTGCTAGGATTACAGGCATGAGCCACCACGCCCGGCTTGAAAGCCCTAGGTTTAACCCTCAGCACACACCCCTTACTCCCATCCAAAAGTTTCCCCAACTCCTCCAGCTTTTTACGTTCTTTCCATTGCTGTGATAGAAGTAAGCACAGATTGATGTAGATCTATAAACTGACTTGGTCTTGGGAGGGATAAGGTTTCTGAAGTGGCGCAGAAAGACTCAGTGACTAGAAGAGTGAAAGAGGTATGTGAGTAGGCAGAAGGCAGAGGATAAGAAGATACATTCTCGGATTAGCCGGAACAAGGACTCTGAGGAAAGGAAGCCGGCCAAATAGGCTAGGAGCTAACAGAGTTTGACTTTGTCTTTGATCGTGAGATCATTGGGAAGCTGTTGAAGGATTTCAATCAGGGGTGAGATAACCAGTCAACATTCCAGGGACATCTCTTTATGGCTGAACGGCGAACCAAAGAAGGTCGAAATGGGAAGAACACCAGCCTCGGACTTGTAACTCCAAAGAGAAGTGTCGAAAGAAGGCAGTTAGATGTGCCAGAAGAGTGGCCCAGAGGCTCTCAGACATCTTCCCATCAGCCTCCCAACTTCTTTTTCTTTTTGTTTGTTTGTTTTTTTGGTATCAGGAATCTAACTCAGAACCTTGCACTTGCAAGGCAGGCAGCAGCACCACTGACCTAAATCCCTGGCCCTAACTTCATTTTTTTCTATCCAGCCAACCTTTAAGGGACATTCTGGAGATTTACACATTAGAAAGTGATACTCCTTGGAAGCGTCAAGCCTATTTGAGAAATTACACCTTAGAGTGAATAATTTGTTTGATTATTAGGTACATTCCTTCTGAAAGCTGTTCTTGGTATTATCTCTAGCTCAGTTAAGAGCATGGTTTATAAACTATTTAACTCCCCAGTTGCTAGAAGAGAGCCAGCAAGGGAGCTTTCCTAGAGTTCCCTACCTTTGGCCTCACCTTCTCTGCCAATGGGAATAGGAGGAGGAAGGAGAGACTCGCTGTCAAGGCTGGAAGCCCCATGTGTCAAATGGCTCGCCAAGGGTGGTTTCTCATTGTGCACTTACAGACAAAGGGCAGAAATCTCTCGGTTCCTTTTCTCTCACTTTTAGCCCATGTCGTAAACTGGCCGTGCACCCTTGATGCTGGCAACCTTAGCCTGTGAGTTCTCTTTGAGATACTTGGTCTCTTTTTTGTTCATCTTGATTGAAAGTAGGTATTGGGAATTACTTTTATGATGACAGTGCCGCTGGTTTTGGTGAGATGTCACTTGTGGGAGCATGAGGTAGACCTACTTAGCTCCAGGCGGCAGATGGCCGGCCCCCGGCAGTGCACACCAGCCCTGCCATCATTGCCAAAGCCCAATTCCTAAGGGGGAAGAGGGTCGGTTAGTGAGAGTCCATATCAGGTGTTACCTATTTTGGTTATCTGAACAGACACATCACTGTCCCAGAAAGCAATATGCTGGGCCTTCTCTTGGAGGTCTCTCAGATTCATCCTGCAGACAGCGGAATGGAAGGAGCGTAGCTCTTCGAGTGCCATGGAATGCGAGCTTTGATATCCTCATGGTGATCTCTGCAGGTCCGTAATGAGGGGACTGCTGCCTGGGTAATTAATATCTTATACTAAGTTGACGGTTCTGCTGTAAATACACACTGAGGCCTGGGAAATTGATTAATATACGTACTGGGATCTACATTTTTGTTTGTTTGTTTGTTTTGTTTTGTTTTGGTTTTTTGAGACAGGGCCTCACTATGTTGTTGAGACTGACCTGGAACTCACTATGTACCCCAGGCTAGTCTCAAACTCACAGTGATCCTCCTGCCTCAGCTTCCTGAGTGCTGGGATTACAGGCATGCGCTGCTACACCCAGCTTGGGATCTACTCTTTTTTAGTGGGCATTTAATCACTGCTTGGTCCCTGAAACCTTGCTATGCTCCTGACTTTGGGAATAAACCTAAGTTGAGATCCCTTGGATGTGAGGAAATTCATAACCTTAAATTCTTCTGTCAAGTTGATGTAGCCATTTTAAAAGGCCCTACAATTGATTTGAGCTAATGGTAATGGTAAACATACATAAACTTTATCCCCAGATTCTCTCTCCAACTTTTGGTTTCTTTTGTCCCTGACTCCTTGTGCTCTTGACAACACTGTCCTGCCATCTTTGCTTTCTGCCAATCTTGGAGTTAGGTGATCTGATTTCTGGCAGAAACCTTAAAAGAAATGTGACCATATGCAAATTACTTAAACTTGCTGAGGCTCTGTTGCTTTATTTGTGGGAGTGGGAATAATAATGCCAACCTTGACTAGTTTACAAAGGGATTGCAAATGGTAGATCTAAAAATCTTTTGAAAGTGATATACTTAAATTTCCAGTCAGGGTCGGGGACTTAGCTCAGTGTCACTGTATCTGCCTTGTAACCTTAAGGTCCTGAGTTCGAGCCCCATTACTGGAAAAAATTCCCAGTTAAGGTGGTATATTTCATTACCTAATCTGGGTTACATTAATTACAACTGTTTTGAATTGCTTCCGCAGTTAAAATGAGTATCTGATGACCTTTCTGTTATGCAGGGGGAAAATAATGAGTTAACATTTATTATTTACTACAAATAAACTGAGACTTAGATTTAGTAACGTGACCAATTTATATTAGGCATAAGAAACAGAACCAAAATTGGATCCCAAAATATTAGCTCCAAATTTTATGTAGATGATAGCTGCTAGCATTTACTGTGTAGAAGGTAAGGTTCATATCAGCTTCTTGGAGATTTTTGTTCCTTTTTTCTCTGATGTGTCAACTGACAGCTGTTCTACACCCCCCCTCCGCACCGCCTGTGGTTCATGTAGTTAACTTGTGAGTGTTAGTATTATCTGGTGCGAATTTTATGCTATTAATGTTCAAAAATAGAAAATGCAGAAACTTCAGAGCCACACTGGTTTCTCATTGTAGTACTTTTCAAAGTTAAGTTTTTGGGAAGAAAGAACTGAAATGTTAAGTACATGTACCAATTCCTACAGTGAGTGATCGTCACGTACTGCAGACGTGCTGATGACAAGGAACAGAAAGCACCTACTGCAGTGCCATGGATTTCAAGGAACAAACAAGGAAGTTTCTGCTTCACGGGAAAACACAATGAACTCCAGCATGCTGGGTACTTAGGAAAGACCTTGCTCTTAATAGATCACTCAGTACTTAATGACTTCCTCTTTTTTGTCATTTTTCTTTTCTTTTCTTTTTTTTTTGTTTTTGTTTTTTGAGACAGGGTCTCACTGTGTAGTTGAGACTGACCTGGAACTCACTATGTGGTCTCGAACTCACAGCAATCCTCCTGTCTCAGCTTCCCGAGTGCTGGGATCACAGGCGTGCGCTACCACGTCCGGCCTCAGAATTTTTTTAAGACAGAGTCTCACTGTGTAGTTCAGGCTGGCCTTGAGCTCACTATGTAGCCCATGCTGGTCACAAACTTGCAGCAATCCTCCTGCCTCAGCCTCCTGAATGTTGGGATTATAGGCATGGGCCACCATACCTGGCTCTGGAATCTTGGGAATAAAAGACATTCTGTGGAACCATTCAGTGGCTTTTAAAAGAGTTCTGCTTCATATACATAAAACCCTAGTTACATTGCCCAAACAACCTACTGCTCTATTGCAGTGGCCATAGTAGAATTAAAAAATAAATGCGTAATGGGATTTCTCTACATTGTGGCTGATGCTGAACATTGGGGCAGTTGATCATTAGCCATTTTGATCAAAGCCTGAGCCTTTGCTTCTTTCCCTAATTATGGGAGTGGGTGAATAGTCTGGGTACTTCCTTTACTTCCTTTTTTTTTTGTAGTGCTAGGGGTGAAATCTGGGCCTCATGTGTGCTAGGAAGGCCATTTGCCACTGAGCTATACCTCAGCCTCTAATCCTGGTAATTTCTGTTCCACTTCTCTACTGCTTTGAAACCTAGGCAGAAGGGAGGAAGTTCACATAAATGACTTCTGGGATTCAATCCTCTGATGGCAGAAAAAAATGAAATAAAAAGAGAATTCTAGATTTTGGGTCCTGCCTGTGGAGTTGGTGCTCTCTCTCATGGGCTGTGTGGCTTCAGACAAGTCATGTTGCTACCCCGTCTCAGTTTCCTTTAGCTGTGAGTGAGGTCCTAGGATGCTGTGATCCCCAAATTGTAAAGCTAATGTGTTTTACCTGCTAACCCTGTAAGACCACATCTATTCAGTGTTCTGCAGCACAGCTAATTCTATGCATTTGTTACAGGATTTGTTGATGCCTTCTTGCCTGAAGAGTCTCCGGCTGCTCTGAGGATGGCTTAGGAAGACTGCATGCTGCTCCCTCTCCCTGCCATGTCAGGCCCACGCGGAGCCGCAGATCTCAGTCCTTCATGGAGACCAAGTCCCAGCAGGACCGGCAGTGCGTGAAATCGGCACCCAGATGGCTCGTCCACATGAGGTCGTCTTGGGCTGTGGGCCGACGTGAGGACACCTGGTGGCCGGGCCGGCCCTCTGCCAGTCACCCGAGGCAGGGCAGCATGGTGCACGTTCAGAGGAGGAAGCTCTTGGCGTCCTGCCTGTGCATCACAGCTATTGTCTTTCTGCTTGTCACATTACAGGTACCCAGGATTCGGGCTGCATGGTGTGGATTCATTCCTGGCCTTTGTCACCTCCCCAACTTCCGAGTATTTACTTTTTTGCTTAATCCTTTAAGACCAGGGGCATTTTGTAGTGTAAGGCAAAGAAAAAAATATTTTTTTTTATACAGGTGAAATGGAAGTTTATTGAGTTTTTCAGAAACAGAATCATTGAGATGGGGATCAGTTTGTGACTCGCACAGTGCTGGTTTTAGGGAAGCACATTACAGCCCACTGTGTCTTGCTGGGTCAGTGTTGGATGGCTCCCTCAGAGTGACTGAGGGTTGCTGCATCTGAAACATGACCGCTCTGAAGAGGCTAAGACTATTCTGAGAATAATATCTGGAAGATATTCTGCACCTTGTAATAAGTGCAGAATACAAACAACTACATGAGTAAATTTCTTGACATACGCAGTTGGATCAAGGGCTGCATTAGGATGAATAAGCTGAAACACTTCTCCAGTCCTCCTACTTAGTTCCTACAGTAAATTTTGAACTTTGTTTACTAAGCTAAAGTTAATAAAAATTGTATAGTGGTAAAGATATATGTATTAGATGTATTCCCCTATCCAAGTACCAGCGGTTCATTTCACAATCGGAAGGACTTTTACAGATGATTTATGGATGTGAGTGGTCCAGGTGTGGGACTGATGGAAACGAAAGTGCTCAGGGCTTTTAACTCAGCAGCGGCTCCTTCTTTCTGATCAGGATGGAAGAGCTTAGAATTTATAAAAGCCCTTTAGTGAGCACTGGGGCTCTACTTCTCTCTGCAGGTTGGGTATCCAGTCGGAGGAGACATTTGACTGCTTTGCTGTCTGTCTTGGGGATATCTAGGGTCTGCTCTGCAGAAGGGGCTGGTCTTATCTGTCTCTCTATGGGGAGTTTCAGGGCACTTTGATCTCCTGAGGCATTTGGTGTGGCTCTTTATCCACTTCTGAGGAATGCCTGTGTCTAAGCTAAGAGCTCTCATTTTAATGTCAGAATAAATTCCCATGGTTTTCATGTGCACGTATGTTCTAAGTTTCCAGATCACGAGAATCCTGGAGCTAAACCTTAGTCTGGCCCAGTTTTAGTTTTGCCACCAGTAGGTTTCCAGTTCCTCACTGGCACATGGAGTGTGTTGGTGTTCAGCACTGTGGTCATGTTATCATAAAAAATTCTTTAAAAACACCAATGGAAAAAAGAAAGAATCTTTATGTGTTCAGAGCCACACCTGTTCTTAATGGTTTATGGAGTAGGCAGATGAAATAATTTGTCACATGAGTAGGACAAATTAAAAAGTAAATCATGCTATGGATCCTCTGTTGGTTTGCTAAGACTGTTTTAACAAAGTACCACAGGATGGGTGGCTTAGACAACGAAAAATAATTTATTTTTTCACATTTATGCAGGCCGAGGAGTCCATGTCAGGGGTTAGCTGGTTTCTCCTGAGGTCCCTCTTCTTGACTTGCAGATGAACATCTTCCTGTGTGATCATACTGTCTTCTGTCTGCATTTGTCTGTGTCCAAATTTTCCTTTTTTATGAGGACCCCAGTTATATTGGATTGGGGCCCTGATGATCTCATTTATTAATCTATTTCAAGACCCAACCTCCAAATGCAGCCACATACTAAGGTGCTAGGAGTTAGGGCCTCAACACGTGAATTTTTAGGGCATACAACTTAGCCTGCAGCACTTCTATAACATTAATTACTATTAATGATAATCTATAGATAAAAATGTAATGTTTACCCGAAGTTAAGCTCAAAGATTTTCTCTGGAGGAAATCATTTATCTTAGACTGTTTTTCATCCCCTTTAAACTATACTTGTGTATAGTATCTAAAAACTCTTTGGGCATATAATACACACACACACACACACATATAAAATCTTCAGTTTTGAATTTTACTTATTCTTCTTTAGATGCAAATATTTCATGAATTCTGGAATTTTTCAAAGCAAATCCTAGGCACTGCATTTCACCTGGAAATACTTTCTTTTTTTGGTACCGAGGATTGAACTTGGGCCCTGGTGCTTGCAAGGAAGGCAGTGGAACCACTGAGCCAAATCCCCGGCCCTCTCCTGGACTTATGTTAATATGATTTTCTGACACATAGAAACATTTAAATTGTCATGTAACCACATTATAAATCCTCTATATCCTGAGAATGTTAAAATTTTCCCAGTTGTCTTAAAAAATCTTTTTTATAATTGATTAGTTTGAATATGGACTAAGCAAATCACACACATTGCCTTAGTTTGGTGTATCTCAAATTTTGTTTTGCTTCTTTCCTATTGGAAGTTTCTTTTGACCTACCTTTTATTTGATGTCCTGGATTGCTTGAAGAAACGGGTTTATTTGACTTTTTGAATAGTCTAAATTGTGGATTTGACTGATTTTATCCTCATGGTTTCAATATTTTTCTCTGTCTCCCTGCATACTTACAACCTGGTAGTGGTATCTGTGGATAAATATATTTTTAAAAGCTGTTTGGCAAAAAATCTTTATTATTTGTAAGACTTTGTTAGACTTCCCTTTCCTTAAGATGGCTGCCACATGGAATAGCAGCCTCCATGTTAAAATATGACTTCTCCCAACAAAGAACAGGCTTCTTCCCATCCTGCCTCTTCTCCGGCCAAACGAGTAACCTGATACTTGCTACCTCCTAGCAGCTAGGGATGTCACAAGACCCTCCTAGTGATGTCACAGGCTCTTCCAATCCCTTAATACTACCTCACTCAGGCTGACCCCACCCCGCTCCTATAACAGAAGCTCCCTGTTCTGCCATTTTGCTCTCTCTCCTTTGTTTGGAGACAGCCCTGCAGACCCTCCCCATAATAAAGGCTTGTTATGGTCCCAGTTTGGTCCTGGCTTTTGGCCCTTTTTACCTAACAAACTTATACTTCGTATAGGAGACATTGATCAGAAGTGTGGAACAAATGTTATATTTGAAGTTATATCCTGTGGCTTTTTAAAAGTCTTTTTAAAAGTTGCTAGGGATACATTTGTAGAGGAAGGTCAAATGAAGATAGTTTGGGGTCATAAGTCAACTCTGCTCCATCAAGCTGCTGGGGAGGGAAGAGCCACCTTATATTATAAAAATGCTGAGAAAGCTATGGCTAGAGTTAGACTAGTTTTCAGGACTATTTTGCTGTTTTAATGCAGACTCTGGTGTCAGGTGATCCATGATTTCTTAAAAGCAAATAGTTTCTTACTCCTTTTGGAGTGCTGCTGGTTGGCTTTCACTCAGTGGTTCATATTATTTTCATATGCCTTGGGTACTTTTGAGAATCTAATGAAGGTTCCAGGCTCTTCCAGGGAGTTACAGATCCCACTGCTGCTGGAGTCATACGTGGTAAAGGCCCTGCCCTGGGTTGCTAATGAGAGTAGGGCTCCACAGGGAGCACTCTCTTTGGCTGATTATGGAGGAGTGAAGGGTCATTCTTGGAGTCCTTAGCGTGAAGGTGAAACTTTTAGAGTCTGAGTGCCAAACTGCAACCCCAAACCCACTTTATCGCAAAGAGCCAACACTGCATTAGACCTAAATACTGAGGTTCTAGTTTAGAAAAACAACTCATACATTGACATCTTTTTTCTTAAAAGGAAAACGCAATAACATGTGTGCCACAGGTTCAGCCACTACGGCTTTAGGGGTTTGGTTCTCCATTTACCAAAATATGCAGATGCACAAGTCCCTTGTGTAAAATGGCACAGTATTTGCATACAAACTATGCACTTTATCCTATATACGTTGAAGCATGTCTAGATTTGTCACAGTATCTATTACAATGTAAGTGCGGGGAAATAGTTGTTACATTGTATCGTTTAGGGAATTATGATAGCAAAAACATCTGAACATGTCCAGTATAGATGCGAGTTTTTTTCTTTGAATATTTTTCATCCATGGTTGGTGGATTCTGTAGACAAAGTACCTGATGATATAGAGGGGCTGACTACATAAAAATGCAAATATGCTTCCTTTAACGACTTTCTATATTTTGGTCTGTTCGCTAAGGTTTCAGTTATACATAAAACAGATCAGCCTTTTGCTAACACTTTAGAAATGCCACATCGATGTACAAATTTAAAAGTTTAGTGACAAGGCAGCACTTGGAGGACAGCTGCCCCATGGTGTGTATCCCATTCTCTTTGCCCTCCCCGTTACCGTTTCCATTGGCCCAGGGAGGAGACATAGACTGTCCTGAAATAGCTGAAAATGGCAGCCTTACATGAAGAGAAGTGGAAGCCCGTTCCCAGGGGACTGCTGGGCTAATGACACTGACTCTAGGGAGTTTTGATGTTAGACATTACTGCATAGTGCCCGTGTTATAGTGGGTATAGTTAGAAATATAACACCCCTGTTAATTGTAATAAAAGAAACCAGTTGGTAACTTATACCTTATTTTCCCTAGTGTGTTATCTCTAGTAGCAGACCGTTAATAACCCTAGCATAAACATCAAGGGACAGACCTTTTCTGGATACTCTGTATATAAAATGAGGAGGATGGGTCTTTGTAAGCGTCTAGTAGAATTATTAAGTGCCCTTGTTGGTCTATATTTTGGCGGCTGTGTTCATGCCATAATGCATGGACCTGTGAATATGGCATTTACATGGCAGAGGGGCTTTGCAGGTGGGTTTAATGTCACATATTGTGAGGGGGAGCATGGCTGTGATGTGAGTGTCCCTCAGAGTTCATGTTTGGGACGTACAGTGCAGCAGTATAGAAAGCTGGGACCTTTATGAGGAGATCAGGCCACAGGAGCTTTGCCCTCATGAGTAGATGAAGGCTGCGATTGCTGGAGTGCATTAAGAATGGGTTCCTGATAAAAGATAAATTTGGGCTCCTTCACTCTCTTGGACCCTTCAAACTTGCACTTCCCAGCCTCCAGAACTGTAAAAATAAATCTCTATAAATTATTTGGACTTGGAAAGGGGAGGGAGAGGACAAGAAAGGGAAGTTAAAAAAAAATAAGACATGTTATATACAGGTACCATCTCCCCATGCTGAATATAATCATACACTGCAAACGTACTAATAAACATGTAACAAAATACGAAATTCTGGGTCTCAGGTATCCTTATGGAGATTATCCTGAACAATTCATGGAGGCCCACTGCAATCCCATGAATCATTGAGAGTAGAGAACCGTCCCTGGCCATGGTTAGAGAGGGGTCAGAAGAATCAGAGAGGGGCAGTGTTGCTGCTTTGAAGGTGGAGGAAGGGGCCGTGGGCCAACTATTAAGGGTGGCCTGTAAAAGACAGACAGTAAAGTCAAGAAAATGGATTCTTCCCTAGAATCTCCAGAAAGGAATGTAGTCCTCTTAACCCTTTGATTTTTATCTCCGTGAATACCATTTCCAACTTCTGACCACCCGAACTGTGTAATAATAAATGTTGGTGGGTCCAAATTAGGAAGTTTGTGGTAGTTTGTTACAGCAGCAACAGAAAATGGATAGGACACTCAACCATGAAGGGGATTGGGAGGTGTGCCGAAGGAAATCTGATAGTAACTGTCTTCACTTTCAGGTTGTGGTTGAATTGGGGAAATTCGAAAGGAAAATGTTTAAAAATTCCCATTTGCAAGATGGACATGAAAAAGTGGAAGAAGAGTCCAAACATCTCAGTGTACTTTTAAAGAATAGGAAGAAAACGTTGGAAGTTGATGGCCACCCCATCATGCTCTGGTGGTCCCCACTAACCGGGGAACCTGGACGGCTGGGCCAGTGCGGAGCAGATGCTTGTTTCTTCACAATCAACCGGACCTACCTACATCACCCCATGACGAAAGCATTGCTCTTCTACGGTAAGTAGGCATTCGTCTTTGTCCTCTTGCTCCCAGATAACTCCAAAGCTCTGATTCTCCTTGTCTCCTGAGAAGATGTTGGAATTCCCTGGGAGTCACTTTGGCACACTTGATTTTCTGTGTTTGCTCTATGGAAGGTCCAAGCATTTAGCAAATTCAAAAACTAAGCAAACCTGGCACATGCCTGTAATCCCAGAACTCAGGAGGCTGAGGCAGAAGGATTGCCATGAGTTCGAGGTCAGCCTGGGCTATGTGTGAGTTCGAGGCCAACCTAAACTACATAAGGAGACCCAGTCTCAAAAAGCTAAGCTAATAAAAGCAAAGCAAAACCCCCCAAAACAACTAACTAAACAAGCCTGCCCAGCATAGAATGGTTGACAAGGCCACTTAGGTACATATTTATGGAAAAGAAGAGAGATTTTTTTTTCCTCAACATTTTCACAGTTAGGTGTTGTGCTTAGTGAAATTTATATGCAGAGGATTGGGTGTTGCTTATACTGCTGACGTCTATTCAAAATGTCACTAATAATGAAAGCCAGGAGTTTTTTTTTCTCTAGGGGAAAACGGCTTTAATTGGATAGTAAGAGGAAAGAAATGCAAGGATTTCAGCTTAGGTAGCTGGATGGGGAACACTGACACTGGGGATTTAGACTGGCCCACTGCAAGTGTCGCCAGCTTTCAGAGACTGGCTGGTAGGCCACGGTTCTGTAGATTGTAATCTCAGTCCTGGTGTCATAGTTCTGGAATCCTTTGGCTGAGGGGTGGTCTCATTTTCAAGTGACCATAGGTTCAGGAAAATGGCTGGAGACTTCCCAGACATCATTGAATGTGCCTGGAAACCCCCCATGTTGGTATTCTCAATCTGACTGGAATTCAGGGCTAATCAACATTATTTCACCAACTTTTAGACAGAACTTCCCTAAATAATTAACATATCTGTATTCAGAGCTGAGAAGAGATTTGACCCAAGATTTACAGTAACAAAGGGTAGAAAGTGGAAGTCAAATTGATTTTGCTTTTAGTTGCCTATTGAGTAGGCCCAAGGAAAGAGTCATGGTTCATAGCAAAAATGGAAAAGCAAAGACATTTTGATTGCCATGGCAGATGTTTAATTGGATGCAAGCCAATTAAAACATACACAGTTGTTCTAATATATGTTGTGGATATTATTATTAAAAATCTGTAGTAGCAGAATATCAGTTGCTGCTAGAGGGAAAAATAAGTTGGGCACATAGAGCCCCTTGGGCCCCCTCACATTCACACTGTGCGCAGTGTGCTGCTTTGCTGTCTTCTCCCTTCTCTGAGAAAGTGTAGACTGTTCTCTTTTTCATCAGTTTGGAAAGTTAGTGGCGATGGCTTTGGTTTGAGTCTCCTTTTTATCCTGGAGGGATCTCAGTAGGAATGGTTGCTGGGAAGCCTATTAAGCAGTATTTAGCCTGGTGACTTTCCCTGGACTCCAGTTATCATACCGAGTCAGTATTTTCTCAGGGATGGACTCATCTTCAACTGAATCCCTAGGACACTGACGTGCCAGCAGGATACCTCAGGTCCAGAGTAAGTCTAAGACCACCAGCGACTCTCGTGAGAACTGAGTAGATTCCATTCTTATTGGTAAGACATTCAGGACTCTGCAGTCTGGGTGCAGCCTGCTCTCCAAGCCTGATCCCTCTGATTCTACCAACTAAACCTGAAGTTTAAAAATCAAACTGGAATGGTTGAGATTGGTTGGGCACAGCATAGTTCTGAGTAAGGGAGGGATAAAGATTGAAGAATATACTGGGACCAGAGCATGGAGGACCTCGAATGTGGGCTTGTGACTTTGCCTCCAATTAGAGGGTTACTCAAAGTTGGATCACCGTTTAAAAAGTTAACTCAGGTGTAACACCTATGAGACAAGTATTTCAGATCCCCTTCCATCAGACGAAACCTCTCTCCTCTAAATATCTGTAGGTATATGTTATTTAATTAAGCATTTACTATATGCCAAGCATAATACTAGTTACAAATAGAGCAGATAAATAGAGTAACTATGGCATTTAATTTTGCACTTTATGGCCTTCTCTTTGGTAGTATATTATGTAAGGTGTTATCAGTTCATCTTTGTAACTTCCCTCATTCCTGTCTATCTAACAGAGTGCTTTGTACATGGGAGATGTTCAGAAATATTCAGTCTTAGAGCTGCAGAGCAACTGCTGGTCTAACCCTTTCTTTGTAAAGGTGAAAAGATTGAGGTTAGGAAAGTGAGGCATGTGCTGGGATGGCCAGCAGTCGCAGCAGCGCCAGGCAGGGAACCAAGATACTTTTTTTGTCTGAGGGTTCCACATTCTTAGTAAGTGGGCCAGTTAAACTGCTAGTGGGACTCTGGAGCAAGCAAATTGAAAAAAAGAGGAAAAATGATTGAAGTTACAAAAGCTGACCTAATTACAGGAAAATGAAACTCAAAGCATTATGTGACCTCAGAACTTTTGTTTTCACCTCTGTAGCCCACTTTCTCTCTGTTCTTCCTAGAAACGATTCATTCACTTAATATAAACACAATTTCTGAAGCCAAGAAAGATTTTAAACCGTGAAATACAGTGAACACTGTGTCTAGATTGAGCCATTTGAGAAATGTAAATGATTTAGTTATATTGACAAGTCTCAGAAGGAAAAATTAAGCAATCACAAGAGAAAAAATATTTTTTAACCGAGGTTCATGGAGTTACTGAAGTTAACCTCAGAAGCTGTCCCTATAGTGATTTCTAAACATAACCCTGAGTTTTAGAATAGTTGCTTTGAAAGTTACCCTTTGTGAAGGATGGGTAGAGTACCTTCATGACAGTGAGAGAATCAGAGTAGGGAGCTGCTGCTTATGTTTCTAGGTGGTTTCTAAACAGAAGTTGTAGACAAGGTGTATGGAGGGAAGAAGTGAGTTAGAGCCATGTCTCATTTCCCAGAATTCCGCTCTTAGCTCGCCTGGATGGAGCCTGGAGGTTATGGATAGAAAGAGTATGGAATTGGCTTTCTTCCTGGCAGGACTATTTTCCAGCTTGAGTTTGACCCCTGAGGCTTTGGTGGGAGTGATAATGTCCCCTAAACCTGTTGGGAGAGGCTCTTTCTTCCCCATCCACCATTTTCTGGGCATATTCTTGAAAGTGATCTCATTTCTTACTCATTTGTTTTCCAAACAGCGTTGTAGGTAGGAATTAATCTAGAGGAAACACTAACACAAAGCTTCAGCATTTTAGCTCTCTGTTTTCTAAATAACATGTTTATATTTGTGATATCCATCAACTTCTGAAGAAGGAAGATGCATACTATGGTTAGGTTACTATTAAGTGTTTACATGATTATAATTGACCTATTTGCAGTGCACAGCTCAGCTGTGCAGTGAGCTGATTATAGCAGTATTCTGGGGGCTTTTCTCTTGGGTTGGTTGGACTCCTCAGCGATGATTCTTTCAGTTTTTTTTTACTTCATTAAAATACTGAGTTTATTTCACATGTATGTTTTTGTCTCCCCACCTTCTCCATGTCTGACCACCACTAGTGCTATGTCCTGTCATAACATCCATACATACTTCAAGCCAGGCAAAGGGTGGACTTCCATCTTTAAAATCTAAACAGGCATTTTGGACAACACATTCTTGGCAATGGAACCTGGACAACATTTATCAAACACAGTAGGGAAAGTTCTCACTATGCATTATGAAAAGGACAGCCAGATAGCAACCGTTGCAGAAACTAACTAAGATGGAAAATTTTAACCAACTGTTTAAATTTGTCGGCCTTTAGTTTAGGACCAAAAAGTTCTGGGGCCTCAGGGCGTTCACGTCCTTATCCATGGAATCTTCCATGGAATGGTGGCACGCACTTAGGTGGGAGAGATTGCTACTGCCCCAGAGAACAGACGTGCAGGATAGAGTCACACCAGGGGAATCTTTCAGTTTTTAACCTTGACAGTAACCTGGGGATGCCAGCCTCTAGGAGCCGAGTAGGTGAAGAGAAGTGAGCTTTCCAGCGTCTAGTCTGAAAGCCATCACTTACTTCTTCTTTTTCTATTATGGTACCCTTGATCTCACCTTGGCCCTGTGTCTGTAGCCCAAAGACCTTTCTTTTACTTCCTAAGTGTAAAAGCCTTTAGGACTGTCAGGACAGGGCCATGCTTATCTGCATGAAATAAAAGGATCTGAATTTTTTATTTTCTCTTAAAATGACTTCTAGACAAGCCTCTGGGATTAGTTCCATTGTCGCTTTTGTTTTTGTATTCATTTAACGCTTTTGAGTTCTTGAGCAATTTGGAGGGTTTTGGGGTAGGCAGAGTTGATTTTCGGCCCTTGCTGGTGGTTTTAGATTCATCATTCTTGTGTCTGTGAAGGCAGTAAGTGTCATCACTGTGCTTTCTATAAGGGGTCATATTTAGTATCTCTGATTGTCTTTGGGTTTATACCCTTTAAAACACACACACCAAGAAATCACCGTTTTGTTCTTGTGATCGGTCAGTGCACCATCTTTAACTCTAAAACCTGTGTTTATTCATGATTCGTCTGACACAGAAAAAAGCTGAGAAAATATGAATTGATTCCTTAAGTCTTGGGAAAGGAAGAAAAAAATACACTCACTTACAGGGCTGGATCCACAGCATGGAGGCCATAGGTCTGGGGCTGAGCTATAGGAAGTCAGCATGGCCACTGGCTGTTGTGGTGTTGCAGACTACACTGTATCAGTTGGATGTGATTCATTGTCACTTTAGCTAGGTGAGATGTGGCAGCCAAGGTAATAGCATGAGGAAAAGGCTTCCATGAGGACACAGACATAATCTTTACAAAAAATTTATTTTTTATTAGTACATGTTGCAATACATATTTAGATTCTCGTAAGGGAGTAGGTGCATGCACTTAACATAACTTAATTCTTTTTATTCTCTTGCCTCTCCTCTCTCTCTCCGTTCCCTCCATTTCCGCATTCCCTTTGCAAATCTTCCTTCCCTATTGTTAATCTTTTATTTTGTTTTTAAAAAAT